TGCAATAAAGAATGTCTTTACCAGTAAGTTGGCAAAAATTTACTTCAATGTTACGTGTTAATTTTTTTTAAAGTTGTTAAACTAGTGTAAATTTAATTTGCACATATCAAGTTACTATTGAAAATAATCACATTTTACACCTTTGCGTGCCATTTGGATTTTCTCCTTTGTGATTACATTTGTTTGTATTCTTCATTAACTTAATGATTCAATTTCATTGTTTTTATTATTTATTTAAATGACTTCACCATATGTTATTGATAATGAGCCTTTGCTTATCATATGTGATACAAATACGACTTTTAGTTACTTGTTTCATTTCACTTTTGTAAGATTTCATGTTCAGATGTTTGGTAATTAAATAAATAAAATATAATACTGTATAATGAGATTAACTGGTTATAGAGATTCTTTCAATCAGAAATATTTCATCTATATTCTCCAGTGGAAAAAGGAAGTGCTGTATTTTGGGTTGTAGCATTTGATTTCATATATATGTTTCTTCTTTAAATCTGTGGTGTTACATTTCCAGAACGGAAATCTGATTTAAAAATATGTACAGGATAGGGTTTGGAATTTAACTGGACATAATTTTACATTTTCACCAGAAACTGTTTTGCTGTTCTCCTTAATGGGAGTAAAGTAAGTAAGCAAGCTAGTAAAGGCCCTCTCAAATAACACATAGATGCAGAAGAACGAATTCACAGGGAGACTTATGGTCTTGGAGCGGACTGACTTTCCTTTTCCTTGCACCTGGGTCCTCTCCCCAACTCCAAACAAATAACATCTGCATCAGAAATAACTTGGAAACATGTTGTTTGGATAGGTTTTCTTTACCAAATGGTATGAAACAAAATTAAGACATAGCCTCAGTAAATTATATTCAAGGTTTAAAAATTATGCACTGTGTTTTGTAAAACTAAAGTTGAGAAAATATATACAGTTTACTCAACAACTCTGAATGAATAGCTTCTCTGGGTTAGGTAGAGCCATAGGCATTAGGGATATGAGGTAAATGAGGAGTCAAAGCCACAGCGTTTAGGAGCATGCTACTGGCCTTTCACTTGCTCCTTCAATCATTGTTTCACTATGATAATTCTGAAATTTTTCATGAAAATATGAAATTTATTCAGTCAGCCAAATGCTCTCAAGAGGCATGAGTAGGAACGAATTCTAGGGAACCAGAATGAGGAAAATAAATACATATTAAATAAATATTTAGTCCTCAGAATAAAAATTCATGATTGAGTGTCTTATGAAGACGGTGGAAATGACATTTTTCATTCAGGAAATGGATGTCAGGTATGGGATTAAAGACCCAAGAGTTCAACAGCCCACCAGGATAGAGACCTTGGCCTCTGAAGGACCAACTGGGATAGGAGAGGGAGAGGAACAGAGCAATTATAGTAGGAACATCAGTAATAGTAATATATTCCTATGGGAATCTTTGGCTGGTGATTAGAAAGCAAGTGAGTAATCAGACTGGCACTTGGTAATCTTCCCCCGCAGGGGAGCAAGTACACATGTGATGGTGAGTGAGGCAGAACGGGGGGCAGAAAGACTATCAACTCTCCAGGAAGTCACTGGCCGTCCTTCCGGTAGAAATGATGAGCAAATGAACTGAGGGCAGGGGCAGTGCTCACAGAGAGGAGGGATTAACATCATCCCATAGCTTGATCTTGGCTACCGTTCTTGACACGTCATCTCCTCCACGGATTCGATTTTGTTCCTCTCCTCATACTGTCCACAGTTTCTCTTTGGATTCTACCCTGAAGTTTAAGTTGATGTTCTGACAATTTGCAAGAGTCCCGCTAGGGGCTATGGAGAGATCAGGGCCACAGGAACTCCCTCTCTGCCTTCCACACTCCCTTTCCTGCTCATCCAGGGTGCCAGTGAGGGAAGCCCAAGACAGGAAGCTGCTGTGCAGAGACAGCAGCACTGACCCAGGGTGGAAGCCGGAGCTCTGGTGCTGGGGACAGTTGTGGCACGTGGTCCCACAGGGAATCCCAGGTGGTTGCCTTCTTGCCAAATTCTGCTATTTTTGTTGTTGTTGTTGGTTTCTTTCTGTCAGGCTTGTATGTAGTCCCTGTAGATGTTTACGACTGGGATTTCATGTTTTCCAGTTCCAAGCTCTACTCTCAGGTGGGACAATACAGGCAGGATTCATCAGCAAAGCAGAGCTGTATCCATGGATAAATCATTCAAATACTTTCCTCTCCCTTTGCCAGAGAGCTGCTGCCTTCGAATCCCAAGACCTCCCTCCATAATCCTGCCCACTTCCATTGTCCTCTCCTGCATCCTTCTAGATCTTTCTGCACTTCCAGCACGATGACAGGGGTCCTCCCCCTTCCCCCGACAACCCCCAGTTCAACAGGCCTCCAGGGCCTTGCCCCATCTCAAACCGCTTTATCCCTTTGCCAAGTTGTTGCCCATACAACACAGGCTGTTAAATACTGCAACCATCACCCTCCTTTTCAGGAATAAGACAGACGTCTCAGCACATGCTAGGCGACTGCTACAGCAGTTGCTCCCACGTCACCACATTAGAAATTGCAATTCTAATAATTGTAAACACATTTATATGAAATAAGTGGAAAATATAGAAAGCCCATATAACCACACAATAATAAATAATTTCACAGCTGTGAAACAATTTCAGGGTATATTTCATTTCAATATAAAAAAGATAAAATATTGGAAATCTTATCTCACAGGTGTATTACCCAAGAAAAGTCAGAGATGAGCAACTAATCCTTTTATTGCTAGAAGGCTGACTTCTATAATCAGGACCATACATGCTGGTGGACAGTTTGAATATGTCAAGGAATTAATTTATAACTGACGAGTACTTTTAGGTGGCAACATCTATTTTATTTAGTATTTCTCCTTAGTGTATGTTTTTAGGTGCCAATTCAGGCCCTTATTGAATAAATACTGTAACCTTGTCATTCATTTGATATGGAGAAATGACTTTTTGATTCCATGGTATTCTGCTGATTATAAAAAGTTTGAATATTATGCTCTCATTCCACAAAATGGTTTAGCAATTTACTATGAATAATTTTTAAAAGGAGAGAGATCTGTCCAGATATGAAAAATTCTAGAAAAATGCTTCAGAATTAAAAAAAAAAAGAACAGGAATCTAGTGTATAATAGTTTAGAATCTAGTGTATAATAATAGAGTAGTTGTGTACCTTAAAATAGATTGAAAATTTTTAAGACAATTTGCCTCTATATATTTTTAAAATAATCATTTAAGCATATATATCTGCCACAGTTTCATATGTAAACCTCTAAGAGATTAAAGAATGACCAGAAAATAGGAAAAGACTGATAAGGATCTATTGACAATTGGCAATATATAGAAACCAAGAATAATCAGATTCCTTAAATATTGAGGCCCAACCTTTTTCTATTTTTATCTATTTCTGTTTTTTATCCAGTACAGAATTTGCCTTTAATTGAACTAGAACCCTAAACAAGCTTTGATTTTTTAATTCTAGTCTTCATCTTTCTAGAAAATTGTATTTTAAATGTGCTCTAAAACACTTTTTTAGAATTTAAATATGCAGATCAAAGAACAATAATTCATACATTGTACAAGTGAGGTGAGACCACTACACTGGTGGCCCCAAATGAGCCATGGTTCCTGGTACTGTCACTTTTTTATAGCCGCCCCCCTTCACTCAGCTTGGGTTTGGTCATATGACTTGCTATAGTTGGCATTACTCAAGTAGATGCCTGATAAATGCCTACATGTTGGGTTTCTCTTGGAACCTCGATGCCTTGCTATAAGAAAGCCTGTGAAGTTTCTGCAAAAAGACAAGATGGAAGAGGAGGAAGAGGCTGTGGAGGAGACTGTGGTCCAATAGCCAGCACCAGACATATGCATGAGGCTTTCTTGGATATTCTAGCCCCAGCAGAGTTCCTGGTTGAAAGGATCCTAGGAGTGAACCTGTAGGATATGATGTGGACCAGAAGAACTCCTCAGCTAAACCGTGTCCCAGCTCCTGACCCACAGAACTCTAAGCAACACATTTATACTGCTAAAGTCATTCTATTCTGAAGTGGTCTGTTATGCAGCAGTAGATAAGGGAGAGTAAGGATTTTTCAAGCTTCTTTCTAGAAATAATTCCAAGATACGTTCTTCACTGACATACACCTCTTCTATTTCTGTTGTCTATTTATTCACTATTGAGCCTATATCTTTTTTTTTCTGACTCTACCTCTAACCAGTTGGACAGAAGGACTGAGATGGATAGTTGGTTGGTATAAAAAGTGTGACTGAGAAAGGCTTTATTACACATCGACTCAAACAACATGCCAAGTCCTTGCTGGATCTCAAAGGAGCACCACTCTTGATGATGGTATATATCTTAAGTTAATGTTAGTCCACATGGAATCAAACTGTAGGTGGGACAATCTGGTAGAAGAAACAAACAGATTCCCAGCACATAAACCTTGTGTGGTCCATTCAAGTCATTTCTTCTCTCTGCTCCTTTCTATGGAATTATATCTTGACACCAAATGTTAGGCACTACAATGTAGAAAACTCTTTGGAGGGATTTGTTTTCTTAAGGATTTATTATTTGAAATATGAGGCTTATCAGATTGAGCAAGCCATTGAGTGTGTTTGCATCCTTCTTCCTCTGGAACTATTAGTTAAAGGATGCTTTCAAAGTAGAAGTAGTAGCAGAGTGTAAGTAGAGAATGTACGAGGCTACTTCTGGGGGACAGCAATGCTATTGTCTTAAATGGTGTGTATTGTTAGAACTATAGCAACTAACTAGTTCTAAAACAAAGTGGATACCTGGAGGAAAAGATGTAGCCTCATTAAGTAGAGCTGACGTTAGCATACTCACTGTTACTTCCATTGTTTAAAGGATGCTCTCCATGTGCTTATTTAAGGCTTTATCTACCAGATGGTTGTGGGCAGAGGTTTACTTACAAAATGCCAATAAAGGAGAGTCTAGATCAGATGATACAAATATGTTACTTACTGAGAGGAGTATCTGGACAGCACTGTGGATGACCTCTAGGTACTGGAAATCAACAATGCAGCCTGTGACGGAGACGTACGTGTAGTCGTCCATCATGCCGTGGGCTGATGGAGGCAGCACTCTTCGGACACAGCCGGGCCCATGTTCCCGCCACCATGACCGGTGCACAGAAATGTTGAATGTCATCAGATCTGTATCCTGGGTGGGCAAAAGACAGGAGAGCAAAAGGAGACAATGCCATTATATCACATCTTTGATTTTCAACCTTAGGAAGAAATCAGGGATAACCGGGTGACGGGCATGGAGGGCACATGAACACTGGGTGTTGTATGCAACTGATGAATTATTGAACATGACATCTGAAACTAACGATGTTCTGTATGTCAGCTAATTGAATTTAAATAAAAGAAGAAAAAGTAAAAAAAAAAAAAAGTAAAAAAGAAAAAAGAAGAAGAAGAATTCCAGATGAACAAAATTGTTGAAATGATTTAAATTTCAAGTGAAAAATAACAAAAGACAGAACCACAAATGGCTGTGTATGCCATATGCCCAAACTATTGGATTACAATTGTTTAATACAGAGATACAGTCTTTTGAAGAGTAACATTTTAAGGTTAGCACACATCAAAAATCCAGAGACAAGACCCATACATTCGTTCATTTTAAAAATTATCTTGTTCAGTTTGAAACTTTTCTTCATTTTCTTGTTCATCATCATCAGTATCACCATCGTGGGCTAACATTTAATGAGTGCTTTTTTGCATGCTAGATATTGTTCTAAGCATTTTTCATACTTGTATCTCCTTTAATATTCATGCAGATACTATTACCAACCCAGTTTATAATAAGGTGAATAACAGTCCTCCCAAAAGACATTCACATCCTACTCCCTGGAACCTGTGACTTTTACCTTCTTTTGGATGATCTGAGTGGGGCTAAATGTAATCACTTGTATCCTTGTAAGAGGGAGTCTGAGGGAGATCAGACACGAGGAAGAAAAGGAGAAGGCAGTGCGAGCACGCAGGCAGAAGGTGGAGTAACGTGGGCACAAGGCCAGGAAACATGGAAGAGATAAGGAAGGATTCTCTTCTAGAGCTCCAGAAGGAACACGGCCCTGACAGCACCTTGAATTCAGACCAGCGAAACTGATTTCAGAATTCTGGCCTTCAGAATTGTGCGAGTAAGTTTCTGTTTGTAGTATCTTGTTATAGACCAGCCATGAGAAACTAAGACAGGTAAGGAAAGTAAGTCGCAGAGAGGTAAAATAGATTGCCCAATTTAATGAATAAATTAAATAAATTGCTTATTTAATGAGAGACCCCCAAACCTGATCCTATGCAGTCTGTACTTTCAGCTATGAAGTTTGTGCTATCCCTTTACCTACTCTGTTCTCCCTCCCAAATCCCTACAATTCTTCAAACCCTAAAGAGAGCTGGGTACTTCCTCTTCCATTTTTTCCAGAAAATACCACTGACAGCCAGAGTGAAAGAACAAAGAAGGCAATCTTTGACATTTACATATCAAAATAAGCTTTCTAAGCTTTTAGCAGAGACAACAGCCCAGGTGTTTAATCCTCAAAGGATGCCTTTTAGTATTTTGGGGGAATGTCAGCCTTGCACAACTAAGAGCATACAGTTTTTGCCATAACAATAGCTTAGAAAAAATACAGGAGGAGCCAGGATCTCGACTTTCAAATAACCTAAAAATTACAGCTGCACGGTGGAGCCAGAAGGAGCAAGCGTGATGATGGGGAGCAACCCACCCCACCAACACCCAGGACCAGGACACTGCACCTGCAGGGAAGCCCCAGGAACAGGAGGGTGTCAGCTTTTGTTGATCTCCCAGCCACCACCACGAGCAAGCTCCGAACCCACTAGTGCCGCGGGGACATGATGGTCTTTTCTCAGAAGCCCAGGGGCTGCCCTATGACTGTACAACACAAACGATGCTCATCCCTACCTCAGTGGGATAAGGACAGTCCTGACCTCAATGGCATAGGACAATTCTAAGGGCCAGAAATTGGTTTTGGAACTAGTGTGAAACGGAAAGCCCTTGAACTTATATGTGGTGGGGGCTGGAAGCAAACAGTGTGAGACCTCCCAGAGCAAGGACTCCCTGTTATTCCCTGCTGTCTGTGAACATGAATCATGAGGTAGGCAAAGTTATTCTGCAGTTTTAGATTTCCCTTAATTCAAATGGAGACAAGGCAGGGGACCCAACTCAAGTCCCCTGAACCCTGACCGCAAAATCCAGCATTCCTTGGTAGCGGAAACTCTATGCCTCTTTTTTTTTTTTCTTTAATTTATTTATTTGACTGAGAGACAAACAATGAGAGAGGGAACACAAGCAAGGGCAGTGGGAGAGGGGGAAGCAGGCTTCCCACTGAGCAGGGAGTCCATTGTGGGGCTGAATCCCGGGACCCTGGGATCATGAACTGAGCCAAAGGCAAACCCTTAAGGACTGAGCCACCCGGGTGCCCCTCTATACCTCTTGAGTAGCGTATCTTGCAGGAATGAGGAAGCAAGATGCTCACCGAAAGAGGGACTCCACTGTGAAGACTGGTGAAGACCAAACCAAACCAGTCTGTGCCAAGGCAGACCCCAGTGCTGACCTTTCACCTACTTTCCTCTCCCCCCCCTTTATAATGCTATAAACATGCTAATTAAACACATGACACATGAAGAAGCATGACATGCAAGTGCACAGGTGCCAAGAAATTCCCATCTCTACATGCTTGAACATCAGTCCTTTCCTGTCTCAACTCCTTTACAAAGTTTGCGGGCCTTTGTTCTGAAATCCAGTCTGAAAGACCCTTTCGTTTCTGCTGCCTCCCTTGTGCTGGGGCATAAGGCCCAATAAAAAGCTTTTTCTGGAACTTCTGCATGGCTTCAGTCAATTTCTATTGCTTGGAGAGCCCTAGGACCCTGGTGGATTAAAAAAAAAAAAAAAAAAACTACTATTGTAAGCATGCCTCCGATTAGATCGCTATTAAAACATTTTACATCTTTTTTTTTTTTCTTTTTTGGGTTGTTGGTTTGTTACACCTATCATTCAGTTACCTTCACAGTTACAGCACTTTATTGATAATAAAACATTTTACATCTTTTTTTTTCCCCCTTGGTTCTCGGTTTGCTACATGTATCATTTGCAGTGCCCTCCGAAGGGAAAATATTATAGAAAAATAATTGCTTTAGCTAGTGAATTTGGTTTAATACAAGGCAATTTACCTGCAGCAAAACTGCACACTGACTGCTCCCTTTCCTGACCATCAGATTTAATCTCTTACAGTTAGTCCTGATCACAACCGAAAAACTATTATTTCCGTTTTAATAGAATTCATTAGGTTCAGGATGAACTGGCGTGATCTCAAAAGTCATAGCAATTTCTACTCTTTAAGCATTCTTAACCAGTGGCCTTTTCTATTGCTGGACTCTAAATTCCTTTCAATATGACTTGGACTAAAATTTATATTACACAAATAAAACAAAAGTGAATTTATGAACTCATGATACATATTTGTTACACTCATAAAATCTCTCTGTGTGGTTCTCACTTAATTTGTTGGCACTATAAATATTTATAAACTACTGTTTTCTGCAATGGCTGTATTAAAATTGGAATGAGAACATCAGTAGTATCAAAGTATACTGAAAGTTCAAACTTCTAACTTCGATTTGGTATAAAATTGTATTGCAAGTTTGTGTCTGATTTCAAGCCCCTTCAGTGGCTAGATTTCAAACATTTGAAAAAAACCCTTAACACATGATTAGTCAATTTCCTATATGAGCCACATCAGAGGAAATGCAGCACAGAAAACTATAATAGTGTTCTTTATAAAGAAAAATAAATAAATACAGAAGATCACTTAGTTTGTTGAAGCTTTTTGTTACCACACCAAACCTGTAGTTTTGAAATACATGGGTTAATGCTAAATGGCAGATCAACAAAGGGATCTTTAAAATAATTCCAAGTAGCTCAAATATCATTTCTCTTTCAGTTCTTGGAGTTAGAATATTATGTGATAATTTGAGCACATCGTGGTTAAGAAAATTGGCAACTGGTATCTTTGTCATTTTCTTTAGAATTTAAAAAATATAAACAATGATATTTGTTTTTATGCAAGTGTAAGTGATTACCAAAGGACTGGTTGCGGAACAAAGAAGAAGAAAGCAAGGAGGGGGAAGAAAACATGAAATCAAACAAAAGGGCTTGCGGGGCATGAGGACAGCCTGGAGAGAGACAGCATGTCAAGCCAACAGAAGGGAGAATCAGGGAAGGTGGTAAGGCCATAAACTCAAAGCCTGGTAAAAAAAAAAAAGGACCATTGAATCGATGACTGGTTGGGCAGGGGTTGGGGGGTAGTTTTTAATAAAATGCAATACCACGAGAGTATTGGGAGTGTAAAACTGGGTTACAAGAAATAGAGGGGACTGAGAAGAGAGAATTTGGTGTATTTTTTCCTGAAGTGTGCGAGTAAAGGTAGTGAGAACATAGGATGGTAGCTTCAAGGGTGAGCAAGGAGAACATGAGTCAATGCATGGAGAACCACTTGTTAGCTCTATCTGCTCACACTCCCAAAGTTGTGACTTAGAAGATAATTATTCCAGAATAGCTGCTTTCCCCTAATATCTATTTAAGCAAATATTAAATGTTTAAAAGTTCTTCCCTCTCTCTAGTGTGAATTCTGAACTTGTTTCCATTTTCTTCTTGAATTAAACAAGAAGGAATTTCTAGAATTCTTTGAAATGTTGTTCATGAACTGTGTAGGTGGACATACTTGCTTGCATCCCATTCACAGGAAGTGTATCGACCGTACCACAATCAGCTCAATAGTCACTTCTTTTATAGTATACCGCTATATAATTTCTTACTAATCAAGGAGCTAGTCTTTGTCTTTTCTTCTATGTACTTTGAATCATCTGCTTTGGGGGGGGGGGTATGTGTCTAATTCAACTTTAGCTAATCCTTTCTACTTCTAGAAATGGATTCTTGACTGCTAATATTCTTTTTTTTTTTTTTCTGTTTCCTTAGTTGTGGCTCAAAGAATCATCGAATCCACGTTTATGCAGTATTCTACTTTCTTTGTCTTTTTATTCTCTCTTATCCTAAGCCAGCCCCTCTGAAAGTGAACACATATTTAATGAAATAAATCTTGCTTAATTTTAAAGAGTTAGCATGGGTTTATATTTATATAACAG